AAGCTTAGGCTCCATTTCTTCCGCTCCCAGTGCCCACAGTTTGGAGGTCTGTGCTGGAAGGCCTAGGCTGAAGTAGCAGGGGCTGTTGCCAGTCAGGGTGGAAGTGCATGGAGGGGGTTTTGTGTGGGAATTCCTGCGCAGCACCTGTCTGCATTGTGCGGTCCAAGCCACTGCAGTTTGTCTCACTTTCATGAGCGCTAAACTTGCTCCTATTTTTAAAGGAAAATGTTTTTGGTTAAAAAGAAAAGCCTGGTTAAGAAACCTCGTGAACAATGTTACTGTGTAAAGTTATACATTTAAATACATTTTATTAGAATTCCAGCACTAACCTGTCAGGACCTTTAGTCAGGTTTCCCTTTTCCCCAGCTACAACTGATGCAATTACTAACCCTTAAGGCGGCTTTCTGGACAGTTGAAGGGACGCTGTCAGGATAAGAAACCTATTTTAGAAACCGATTTCGCTCCCTGTTAACACCTTGGATCACTGAATTTCAAAAATCTAACTCTTCACACGTGTTTACTATTTGCACTTTGTCTAGCATGGAGCATAGAGAGGCTGTTGCTTCACTTTCTGGTTCTCCTGAACCAGCCCATAGTGTGGGTTGCAAATTTTGAAGGGACAATCCAAACCTTTCCCATTGATTACAAAAAAAAGTCATTTCTGTTGGTAGATCTTTTATGCCCTAGAACTTTTACAAAACCTATTTTTTGGGTCTAAAGTACCTGGCAGTGACCTTTTAATGACTGTTGTTGAAAAGGAAACACTGAGTGCTGGTCTTGGCAAGTGGAAAGATTTAACTCACCTTTTTATGTGTAAAAGTTTATCAAAATAGTAAGGTACAGGTGTGACTTGTTTGGGTGGGAGGGGAGCTGGAGAATGGGAGAGTGAAGTGTTTGACACTTAAGTTATTACTGCTGAAATGTATTGATTGAGCTGAGCAGATTTCTCTGATCAAGTTCTGTTTGTGAGAAGGTACTGTTTAATCGTCAGATATCTTTTTTTAAAAATAAATTATCCTGCTGTCTAAAAAAGTTTCTTCCACAATGAAAGTGCAGAAAAAGCAGCAGACCTGTCTTTGCACTGAGCTAGTTGCCGTTAGAAGGCTCTTAGACCACAGAAAAAAACACACCTCCTGCAACAAGATGTTTATTAGAGAACACCATAACATAGGTCCATATCCACTGACGTGGTGAATTTGGCCCGTAGTCAGGAGCCAAGTGAACTTCCAATGGTTGGAGTAAGCGAGGTCTTCCAGGTTAGCATGTGTTAGGAGAAGATGAAAGGGCTCGCTCTTCGTTTGCTGCAGCTCTGTCCTGGAAATCTAATTGTTACTTGTAGTTAGACCATTGTTGGACCTTTCTCAAACAAGGGACCTGCAGGTTTTCCTGGCATTCCAAGCAGAGCTATTCTCTCTGATTGGCAGAGACATAGTCGTGATGCCTCAAGTTCAGTAGGAGCACAAGAATGGCCTGCAAGCCAGCGCTTGAAACCCTTCCGAATGTCATTCCTCATTCTCTGCTATTTCGCCGTGATTTAACTAGAGTGTTTGTTTTTGAACAGTTTGCCCCTTCTCAGATTTGCAGGCCCACATGCACCCTGGTGTTCAGTAGACTTACCCTGGGGACAAACGTGGCACCTAACATCATACAGCTGTGCTTCCTGTCTCCCTTCTCCCTCTCATCAGTGAGGATTGGCTCCTCTGAAGTCAGAGAAGGAAAACCTCTATTAGCTCACATCTTCCCCATCCCCTGAGGATCCATGCAGGATTGTCCCTGCAGCATGTGTCATGATTTTATGGCCGATACAGAGCTGGATGCCTTAGGAAGTGCTTGGAGTATGGAAAAGACGGAGAAATCCAGGAATTTCTCCACTTTCCAAGGAACGAGAGTTGGGGGAAGATTAGGAAAACCAGCCAGGTGTTGATGCCGAGTTTTCAGGAGAAGTTTAGACTATATGCATCCAGTGCAGCTCTGGTGTTCGCTCTGTGTTTCCTTGAGTCAGTGTCTCCTGGACTCTCGAGATTTGAATTTCCCTTGCTGTGATCACAGAAGCACTCTTTGTGTTGCCAGACAGCTTGGAAAGCAGTGAGCCTCAGAACCTCTTTCCTTCCAAGAAGCCAGGAGAAGAAATGGTGGAGTAGAATGGAAGAGGCTCCTGCCCTCTCCCATCATCCCATCATCCAGAAAGGGCAAGGCAGAGGAGGATCCAGCAGCACTAGTGAGGAGGGGGTTAGAAAGGAGGGGGTTCATAGAAGAGCCACAAGAATGATTAAAGGATTAGAAAACCTGCCTTATAGTGACAGACTCGAGGAGCTCAATCTATTTAGCTTAACAAAGAGATGGTTAAGGGGTGGCTTGATTACAGTCTTTAGGTACCTACATGGGGAACAAATGTTTAAGAACGGGTTCTTCAATCTAGCAGAGAAAGGTGTAACACCATCCCATGGCTGGAAGTTGAAGCTAGACAACTTCAGACTGGAAATAAGCTGTAAAGTTTTAACAGTGAGTAATTAATCATTGGAACAATGTACCAAGGGTCGTGATGGATTCTCCGTAACTGACTGTTTTGAAATCAAGATGAGATGTTTTTCTAAAAGATCTGCTCTAGGCATTATTTGGGGGAAGTCCTATGGCCTGGGGTGTACAGGAGGTCAGATTGGATGATCACAAAGGTCCCTTCTGGCCTTGGAATCTTTGACTCTAGAATCCTTTATAACCAGGGCAACCTATCCATGTTGTATTCTATTGTAATGGTTGTTACACTAGCATTGTGCTAGATTCCCTGAATTTACTAATACCATCCAGCCTCAGGATTGGTCTCCCATCTAGTGTACCTGTACTGGTAAGTCTGTTCTAGTAATAGCTCGCAACACCTTGCATCCTGTGGGTAGGATACACCTTGTTGAGATAGATACAGTCCTTTGTTTTGGTGCATATACCTGCTTCTAATCTGATTTCCATTTAAGAATTCACCTTCATTTGTTCAAATGCCTACTGCCTGTGGCAGGTTTGTATGTTTATTTCAACCTTTCGCCTATTCTGAGGGAAGAAAACAGGAGACTAATGGATGTTAGACAGGTATTAGTGGGGTTAGTGTGCAATCCTCAATGTAGTCCAGAAAATGAACAGAGAATTCCCTAACACACCCTGTTTCTCTTCTGGCCAAAACAGGATCGTCATGTTACGGTCCCTTCTGCCAGCCACTCCCGTATGTGTATGTTCATGCACAGTGCAATGAGAGTCTGACATGTGATCCATACAATGGGCTTAGACTGATGCAATGACAAGTTGGAACGGGAAATACAATGCACACTATTATCTCTGCCCTCAGGGTGGCTATTTTTCTGCTACCACAGGACTGCAACCCCACTTTCTTGGGCTTTGATCTTAAAGTGGAATTAGTTATGTCTGGATTAATTTGATTAAAGCAGCATGCATGTCTCTGGGGCTGTGGAAATGCAGATGGGGAGGGATAGCTCAGTGGTTTGAGCATTGGCCTCCTAAACCCAGGGTTGTGAGTTCAATCCTTGAGGGGGCCATTTAGGGATTTGGGGCAAAAATCTGTCTGGGGGATTGGTCCTGCTTTGAGCAGGGGGTTGGACTAGATACCTCCTGAGGTCCCTTCCAACCCTGATATTCTGTGATTCTAAGAACACAGACTAGGTACCTGCATAGGCCGTTCTAATGCCCCAGTATAGTATGAAGGACTGCCAAGCTGCTGGAGATAAAAGTGAAGATGAGACAAAACAAGAAAAAGTAGAGGGTCAGTAACCTGCTTTGTAACATCAAACACTAAACACTTCAGTTTAATGTGGCTAAAAAACCTCATCCTCCATAGCTGTTATAGAACCACAAACTGGGTGTTTGCAATTACTGGTCAAATTTCAGGCAGGTTTGCACGCACTAAAGAAAATACCAATATATGATTTGAGTAGACTCTTGCACACTACCCATACTTAATGCCATATGGCTCACTTAGCACTCTCCCCCATGAAGGAGGGGATTAGGTGGAGGCACTGGATGGGGTTGCTGGAAATTGGGGTCCAATTACTGGCTCTGCCCCAGCCATCTTGTGTGACCTTGGCAATCTGTGCCTTGGGTAAAATGAAGCCAGGTGTGTTGGGAAGGGTGCAGCTACTTATGGTGTGAGTATCCAGTGCTGGGCCCTGTTGTACTAAGCACGTGAAGCTGACCTCTCTTTTTAAGTAATAGTTTTTTTGCTTTGATAGTTACAGGCTTCAGTATGTGCCCACCTCACTGATCTGGAAGCTCCTTCCACAATGAGGAAACATGGCTAGGGAGCCAGACTTGGTTTAGTTTAAAACATTGTCAGGAAAGAACAGCATGCTCTGGCTGCAGCTCAGGGAACCCAGTGTTGTAAGTGGCAATGAGCAGAAAAGGCTGGTCCACATTCTGCCTGAACTGCATCTGTTAAAGCCAGTGGGTCCTCTTATGACTAGATTTAACAACTGCATACAGCAGCAGTACTGCACAATGCTCTAGCAAGAAGAGGTGGTCCCAGTCCTGATCAGAGCAGTAAACCAGGTCATTTCAACTCTCCCAAGAGTGGGGGCAACCTAAATTTGCCATTCACAGTCTGCATGAGATGTCGATTTTGCTGAACAGTTGAGCTGGCTGCTGCTCTCTGATCATACTGCACCAGGCACAGCTATTTCAAGCATATGTTAGGGGCAGATTTTTACAGAAGCATCTCAAGGTTGCACACCTAACATACAGCTGCATCCACATACACTCTCAACTCTGCATGCAATTTGGGCAGACAACTGTGTGTGCAATTTAACATGCAGCCCTGGGCTTTACTAAGATCGGACATGGACAGTGATCAATAGCTCACTACCTTTGTCTTTATTTAGGAGCAAGAGACCCTTCCATACTTTTGCATACTAGTTAAAAGCAAAGCCTATATTCTACTAAGCAAGTTGTGCCACGCTCCACAGCGTGACTGGCCACAAGAACACCAGCAGACATAGATCCAAACAGCAATAGGTTTATTTTACACAGAACAAGTTTAAAGACTATATATACACAGCTTCATAGATACACTTCTGTACAATAGAGAATGTTCTCAAATACAAAGAGAATGGCTGGAGCTTCAGCACACCTGCATCATCATGGAGGTCACCATATTATCAAAGGCCCTAGAGAAGGAAGAGTACGAAATATTAAAGGAAGAGAAGACAGTCCACCACACTGAGATCTCTCTTATACAAAGAAGCTCTTCAGTTAGTAGGTAAGACATAACTTCTATTTAAGCATTTTTAATGGTAACTTCCCACAGGCTTGACAATAAATATTTCATTCCTTACCACTGGTGCAATGCATTTCACAAACAATTACTTTCCTTCTAATAAAGCTGAAGTAACCGTGGTTCTTGCCCTGTCAGTAGATTACAGTCATTTTAGTGGTAGGAATATAGAATCTGCTTTTGCATATGCAATGATAGTGGGAGGGGAACAACACTCATTGGTCCCATAAAAAGATTTTGAATATGAAAAGATGGGCACTGTCCTGTCAACTGTTTTGAGAATTATGCATTCTGGAAATAGTCTCCTCATCCATACTCCTCTACAGAGGCTGAATTTTCAAAAGCTACAGCCTGCCTATTTAGAGGTGTCCAGTGGACAAGGCTGTTGACAAAGTGTTATCCACCACGTTTCAATAAAAAGAATATTTAAGTGAGATCCATTGGTAACTTTTTTTAAGTAACCTCAGGTTCCTGAGTCAGCATCTCTAATATCAGTTCATAGAGCTACTAATGACTGTGAAGTCTGTGGGAGACCGTTAAATGTAGCCTCTAATGAGGATGGTGCAATGGTAAATTTTCTATTATGTAGAAGTAGTCCAAAGAGAGTACAGCTGCATGTTTTTGGAAAGGAGTTTGCAGCTCCCAGCTTTAAACTGATCACTCACAGAAGTTACATTCTTAAGAGCTAAATCCTAATAGCTCTGCATGTCCCAGAAAGGCAACAAAATCAAAAGGATCAGTGGAAGCAGCTCACTCACCTGGAATGAATGCAGTCCCCGGGGTTATAAAAGGGGTTGCACATTACATCTGTGTATGAATTATGCAGCTTTCGGAACATCTGAAAAAAGATCATGGTTTGTTTTTAATTAAAACCTAGAAAATTACTGTTGGGGGGAGGGGTTGTTTGTTTCTTGGCTTCTCAGCATTTTATGAATAAGTGGAAGGAACAAAAATACTGATCTGGCAAGTTACATTCTGATTTCCTGCACTTACGCTGCGGATCTCATTGTCTCGAAGTGCTGTGTTTGAAGAATCTACCACCATAACAAACTTCACCTTGGAATTTGTCACGTAGCCATATCTGTGCAGTTGATTAAGGAACACATTTTTGACACACAAGTGCCTGGAAAAGCAACTAAAATAAGACTTGAGTACAGTCAAAAGAAAAATTTACAAGTGGATGTCACCCTCAAATTGGTCACAATATAATCCATGTCTAGATGAGCTAAGCAAGGGATGGGTCCTAGAAATTGGACTTATTTTCTACCTTAGTGTTACCATTTCTGAAAGGATGATAACTTAGCCTCACAAGCATAGAGAGGGCTGTTTGTATAAAGATTTATAACTAGAAAGAGTTATGACAGGTTGTATTTTTAGACAGCTGCTACCTTGCCTGCCTCCCAAGGCATGTATTACTGTTCAGTAATGGCATAAATGGCCTTCAATCATCAGTCATTTTGATGATAATTTCTTTGGCTCTCAAGAACCCCCCCTTCATCAAAGAATTCTGATTATTCTTTGCAGCCATGCCCATTCGGGTAGCTAATATCACTGACTCAGTAATCACTCAACAGCAATGTTACAATATGGAATCTTCAAAGTTAGCAGCAGGATTACGAAGCCATGGCTATCCGCGGTCACGTACATTAGTCAGAAAGTGAGGACGTTTCAATCCATGTGATTAAAAGGGAAGCAGAAGGCCAGCCACAGAAATGTTAAAAGATCAACTAGTCTCATAATTATCAGGTATAGCTGCAGTCCTGAAATACCAACTTTGTATCTGTGAAAGCTTCTGCAGTCTTACCACCTTCAGCAGCATTACCAGAGGGGGTCCAATTCCGCTGCCTCAGTCACAGACAAGTTGTCATAATTTTAGCTAAGTGAAGAACTAGATACTATATTTATAAATTGTGAAATCTGATCAAACCATAGCTAGCTTCCGATGCACCAAACTTCCTTATTGCAGACAGGAAGGGTAGGTCACTACTGCTTAAGTCGATCTAACGTGTGCTGTTCAGGTGTGTGAAAAAAGACACCCTCCCTGAGTGACGCAAGTTAGATTGACCTACGCACTGTCTACACTGGTGCTATGCTCTCCCGCCAACATAGCTTCCGCCTCTTGAGGAGGTGGAATAATTGTGCCGACGGGAGAGAGCTCTCCCGTTGGCATACAGCGTCTTCAGCAGACATGCTACAGCAGCTGCATCGATGTAGTGCTTCTAGTGTAGACCTGCCCTAAGAGACAGGGCCAAGAATAAACAGAACTGATACTATTCAGACAAAAACACAGCTAAACAACCCTTAGGACTAGGGCTTCTATATGCAGCAGCAAATCCTGTGTTTTGAAATAACTGCTCTGTGTGAATAGACCAATGCATGTTGCCACAGTGCCTTCAAAAAGCCACAGTGGTTGCCTGTGCAGAGCAGCTTGCAGGACTGGGGTCAAGCTAAGAATATATAAACCCATAATTGCATTGCTCAGCTGTATGGATGCTGAATGTCAGATGCCAATACCCACTTAATGATCACAGATACTGTGGTATACAAATTAATATTTGAAGTGAAGGGTTTCTAAAAAATAAATTTAAAAATACAGGACCAGATGCTCAGCTGCTGTATATCAGCATAGTTTCACTGACTTCAGTGGAATTACTGATTCACACCAGCCAAGGCTCTGACCCCTTTTAATCTTCACCTTTTGCAACACTCATTGGCTATTTACATTCCTTGTAACAACCTAGTTTTACAACGGCCAGCAAAAGGGATGGTTGTCCATTTAAAGGTTTCATTTCTAGGTTTTTTCTTGCTGCAGTGTTTGTGTTTCAAACACTTTAAAAAGCAACCGTTTTCATTGTTGTTTTTTTCTTTAATGGAGGAAACATTTCTACTGGTCTTAAGTTTCCAAAACACTGGTTTTCACAAAATGTTAACTGACAGTGTCCCTTTAAGCACTCTCTCTCAGGTTGTTTTGGTCAAATGAAAGTACCAAAATCTATGAGATATATGCATACTAATCCTCAGCACACTTGCCCATTAAAAATCAAACTGCACAGTGGTTATTTCACAACACAGGATTTACAGCTGCAATGTCAAATGAAAACAACGGTAAATTCTAGAACTGGAAGACAGTTACTTTTAAAACCTAACCCTGCATTCCTTGCTTAGAGAAATCAGTGGAGTTCTGACTGAATAAGGACAGATTGTAGGAACAGGCCCTATAGAGCACACCTGTCAGGCATTAAAGATACACTTTGTAGTCTTCAGTTGGGTACAGAAGTCCCAGATAGAGCTCTCTCTGATCCACAAGGGCCTTCCCCATGGCAGAGATCTTTTCATCCACAACATCCAGGGAAGTGTGCACTGTATAATGGAACTTCAGTTCATTTTCTGTTGGGATGCTTCGGATGTACAGGGGATAGTTCTAGAAAGGATGACGACAAATTGTGCTAACTGGGGCTACCTATTCTGTGCCCGAATAGATTAGCACTTGTAAGTATAGTGCTCTGAGGATGCAAACTGCTATTATTTAAAAACTAGCTATTTTTAACCACAAATTCTATTTAAAGATATCACAGAATGCCACTGGTCTACACTTGTATAGCACAACATGTATTTATACTGCAGATCTAGCTTTATCCTCTACTATTAACAGTCTTTAGAAGAGGACTATTGCCAGGTTTACATTTTCTCATAACACAAAGGTAACGAGTGATCCATCCATCCCCCTAGGTGAGACTGTCCCAGCTCATTTGGTCATCTCATCGGAATCATCCTTCCTGGAAGAAAGTCCATAAAGGGCTCCCACAGAGTGACAAAAACCTGGGGCTTCCCAACCCCTGCTCCACCAACCCCTATGCCAGCCTCTAAACAAGCTCCCTGCCTCCCCTCAACCCAGTACCACTGCTTCCCTACCACTCCTGACCTTCTCAAATCAGTCCTCCTGCCCCCACCCCAACCCCC